CAAAAAGAAACTACTCACTGATCTATATGATATCACATTATTTTAGTGGAAGAACAGGCATTGGAAATGGACACATCCAAAATTCACAGGCACTAGCCAGGCAGACTGGCTGGTCCTAATTGGGTATTGATATGCTTTTCTACCTTAGTTCCCAAGCAAGCTCTCAGTGCCAAAAGGATGCCTCTAACTCCTCTAAGAGGTTGGTAAGACATCCCTCTGAGGAGGAAATCACTGGCTCCAGGAGCAGATCAGATTCTGGACCTCCTAGCTGGTACCCACCATTATCCTAAGAGCCATAGGGACACTATGGTTTGGCATCATGAGAGGCAGAACTGAGCTTAGCCAGTCATCATAGCCTGTTTCATACCTGACCTGACCTGAGCTGCCTAGACCCATCTCTCATCTCCTTAACTACCAATGGGCTTCCAGGGGTTCAGCAAAGTCAAGTTATCAGTAAATTAAAAGATCTTATACAGAAAAACCAATATTCTTTTGCTTAACCTCCATTTTGATCCTCTCAGAGATAAAATGATGCTTTATGTTTTGAAAATGGAACTTTTACTAGCCGGACATTGTGGTAGGTGCCTGTAGTCCCAGCTACTCAGAAGGCCGAGACAAGAGGATCACGTGAGCCCAAGAGTTTGAGGTTGCTATGAACTATGACACCATGGCACTCTACCCATGGGTGACAGAGTGAGACTCTATCTCAATAACAACAATAAAAATAATAATAATGGAACTTTCATGTATAAAGAAGGGGCAATAAGATGTTAAAGCAAGTCAGCAGTTTGGGTTTTTTAAACTGAGAAGAAACACTCTGGAATCTGGAAACGTGGGTTTATCATATCTTAGTGACACCACTAAGTAGTCGCACAACCCTTAGCATATTTCAAATCCTCTGAACCTCAGCTTCCTCAATCATAAACAGAAAATACTAATAAAACCTGCCTCACAAACATGAGACTCAAAATGCTCTTTCAGATCATAGCCACTTATCAAATATTACTATATCGATGTTTACATATGAAGTGATTGGGACTGTACAATTTTAAGTTGCCTACCCCCTAGAGCACAAATAGTGAACTAAGAAATGGCACGCAGGTGCTCAATATAGCATGGGCTAAGCTCAATCTAGCATAGGCAGACCTGAATCAGAACCTGCACTTCCCCACTTACAAACTGTGGAATCCTGGGAAAAGTTTCTTAACTTCTCTAGCCTCAGTCTCATTTTAAAATGTAGTGAACACCATCTAACTCACAGATGTGCAGTTAGAAACAAGTGAGATAATGCGAGGAAAGGGCTTTAAACAGGCTGGATACAGTGGCTCATACCTGTAATCCTAGGCACTTTGGGAGGCTTAAGTGGGACTAAAACTAGAAAAACTAGCCAGGTATGGTGGTGGTTGCCTATAGTCCCAGCAACTCAGGAGCCTGAAGCAAGAGGATCACTTAAGCCTAGGAATTTGAGGTTGCTTTGAGCTATGACACCACAGCACTCTACCCAGGCTAAGAGTAAGACTCTGTCACAAAAAAAAAAAGAAAGAAAGGGCTCTAAACAGAGGCTGGCTTATGATTGTAATGAAACCAGGGCTCAATAAACAGTAGCCTTTTTTCTACCGGTAGCTCTTTTCCTAGCCCTTTATTCTATTTACCTCTCTAAAGTAGGAAAACCATTAGCACAGCTTAAATTGCCTTTCAACTTTTAGAGAAAGTTTAACAAAACCAGTCAAAAAAAAAAGAGGAAAGTAACAAGAATGAACTTCTATTCCAAACTATGTATCACCTTAGTGGCATCTGATATTAGAAAACATAGGTATAATATCCTGAAGAATAAACCACATTCTTTCCAAAGAGGTAGGAATGTACACCAACTCCATCTTAGCCAGGCTACCCATTACCCTTTTATAATATGAGCTCCAAAGGAGTCTATAAACCAAGCAGAAAGCACTACAGGAGGGGCAACTTTGATGCCACATGAAAATCACAGTATTCTATAAATTTAAACCTCAATTTTTTTTTTTTTTTTTGAGACAGAGCCTCAAGCTGTCCCCCTGGATAGAGTGCCGTGGCATTACAGCTCACAGCAACCTCCAACTCCTGGGCT